CAAAAAACTTTAGTGAGAAAAATCGAAAAAACGAACTACAAACATATTAACGCCAAACATTCGGTAGAATTTATAGAATATTGTAAAAATTATGGTCTATTACCAACATATATATATATATATATATATATATATATATATATATATATATATATATACATAAAATGTTGTTATCAAGTAACCATTATAGAGATAATACTAACATCCTGTAGTTAACTTAATTAAGATATTAATGGATAGAAAGCTGTAAGAAATCCAAATTAGGATTCTACCATTAACAACATATTTTTATATAATTAAACTGTTAGCAATCCACTTTTATATGATTAATTGTGAAGATTCGATTCGATTCGTTTCGATTCATTTCGTTTCGTTATTAATTACATGAAACAGTATACTGCATGGGGATAGTAAATACCTGCTAGGTTATATAGTTATATTAAATGCATCTAAATTGGAAAAATCAATTTAAAAAAATTTGTTTGCTGGTCCAACTAGATTTTTTTTTTTTTTTAATTTTTGTAGGTAAGGCTAGTTTGAAATTAAATAAATTTGGTGAATGAATATATGAATGAATGAATAGATGAATCAATAAATGAATAGATGAATGAATGAATGAATGAATGAATAAATGAATGAATGAATGAATGAATGAATAAATGAATGAATGAATGAATGAATGAATCCCAAAATAGAAAAAAATCATCAAGTAAATAAATCGGTGAAAGAATGTACGTACGCAGTGAATAAACGAAAAGATGAATAAATAGATGAATGAATGAATTAATGAATGAATGAATGAATGAATGAATGGATGAATGAATCAGTAACCGAATGAATGAAAAAACAAACGAATGAGAAAATATATATATATATTATGTTAATGAGCTAGGACGAAGCATGATAATTTATTCATTAACGCTGGACTCCTGGGCTAAGACGATGGCCACTCTACAAGGGAGATAAACCTGAAAGAGAGAGAGAGAAAGTTGAAATACAAAAGTGAATGAATGAATGGATGGATGGATTAAACGAATGAATGAATGAATAAGTAAATAATAAGAGTGAGTGAGTGACGAAACAAATGAACTCAACTCATGAATGATCACAAAAATAAATTCGTTAAATAGATTCATTTTCATACACATGCGCATCTTCATCCTCGTGTCGTCTTCATCACCATCATCATCGCCATCATCATCGTCATCATTATCACTTACAAACATGTGGTTATCTCTGTTATCCCATTTTTCCGGAAAAGTGAAGTAATCCACGTTGTGGTCCAGCCTCTGCTGACCTTTGAACTCCTTCGAATCCGTATCCAAAACTATCCTATATCTAGAAAATGAATGAATGAAAAAAAGAATGAATGAGTGAGTTAGTAAATTAGTGAGAGTGAATTTTTATCGTTACCACCTCCATCCCCATTGTCATCATCACTATCACAAACAGTACATCCCTAATTTGCACTAACTTTCCGGATTGCTGGACCCCAATCTTGTAATCCGTGTAGCTGATTGACGGATGGAAGTTGAACGCAAAAATAAGCCCCGCCCTTTCGAAGACAATGACCTTGTCCGACTCGTGCTTGCGACTTACGTAACCCTATTTTTAGTTGTAGTAGTAGTACTAGTAGTAGCTGTAGTAGTAGTAGTAGCAGTAGTAATAGTAAAAGTAGTAGTAGCAGCAGTTGAACAAAAACCCAAGACAAACAACACTAACCAAACAAGACACCGATCAAACAGTCCCCACAAACACAGCCAAATATGTAGCCAATTGACCGAAAACCAACCTGAGAACTATCCAGCCAATGATATTTCTCCTCTAGGGAATTCATCTGGACGTCAAAGTTGTTCAAAAACTGGTAGATGAGTAGAGGGTCTTCCGCCAGGGGGTACTGTCGGCGAGCGTAATGATAACTTTCTTTATTGCCTTCCCTTGGAAAGTCCAGCCACTCCGGGTGACCGAATTCGTTTCCTAGATAAATACGTTTGCGTGCGTGCGTGTGTGTCTGTGTGTGTGTGTGTGCGTGACAATATATTTGCATGTGTACGTGTGTGTGGGTGTGTGTGAGAAAAATTAGTGGACATGTGTGTGTGTGTGTGTGTGTGTGTGTGTGTGTGTGAGACAATATATTTGCATGTGTGAATGTGTGAATGTGTGGGTGTGTGTGAGAAAGGGTAGTGTACATGTGTGTGTGTGTGTGTGTGTGAGTGTGTGTGAGAAAGAGTAGTGTACATGTGTGTGTGTGTGTGTGTGTGTGCGCGTGCGTGAGAGAGTTGGTGTGCAAGTTCATATACTGCGAAATATGATAAATTGAAGATATTATATACCCGATATAAATACACTAAAATTCGCAACAAATACCCCACCCATAAAATTGAGGTAGCCCTCACCCCCCAGGACGTGGGTGATGAGTCTGATCATTTTATGTAGGGCAACGCCCCGATCGATGACCAGCGAATCAGGAGAGAGGACGGACATGTGGGTATACATCTGGGAGTCCATCAGCCAGAAGGCTAGTGTTTTGTCTCCTACCAAAGCCTTGGATGTGTGTGCGTGTGCGTGTTTGTTTGAGTGTGTGCGTGTGTACGTGTTTGTGTTAGTGTGCACGTCGGTGTTAGTTCCATCGTTAAATTTGATTTTATTCATTTATTTATTTGTTGGTT